ATTACCAATGACTGAATAATATGAATTCATTGTTCAAATAGAAACATATTCTTGATTCACTGATATATAAACGTTAGTAGATTAGATCTTCCAGCGAATTTATGGCAGAAGCTAAATGCTCAGAGACTGCATGACAGAAGTTGAATGATATGACACTTGATGGACGGTACATCTACAACTTGTAGACGTTACAACTTGTGAGACTACTCGACTACGAGATCCCCTGAACCCTTGGAGTAATAGCTATTTCAATAATTTTTCGCGTCTTTCAGCTTTCACAAGAAACACGCACACACACACACACACACACACACACACACACACACACACACACACACACACACACGCACGCACGCACGCACGCACACACAGGCATACATACACACGCACGCATACATACACACACACGGGACGGGAGGAAAAAAAATCCATTGTTTTACATTCGCATTAAGTTTTTTCCCTCCAATTTAAAGTCCAAATTTTAAAGTGAGCGATGCCAATCTTTTTGCAATTTAGCGCTGCCAGCCCATTGAAAACGGGTTTCGTTAACATATTTTAGTGCTGCTAACCCAATATAAATCATATGATCAAGGACGGAGGGTTGGCAGCCCTGGTCGCAATGCTCGACCAAATAGTGTGCAAAAAGCTTTACACTGCGTGTACAGTCTATGTGTTCTATGGTTAGTGGTTCGTGCCTATGGTTAGTGGCGTAAAACCACTACGCTGCTCTTGCTGTTAATAACAGTGACAGTGCTGCTACTAAGGCCAAGGTGCTGGTCACACGCCAACAGATGGCGCCAATTGCAATGAAAATGACAGAATTTCAATAGGTTCAGTGTATTAGAAGTAAATACCTAATGCGAATCTACATGCAAGAGGTGTGCATTTTTTCATATTACCTATAATTAAGCTAAAGCATAAATAATTAAAAATATCGTTCATCGTTAAAAATAAGTAATCCCCTTCTATTTTTATCCTCATAATCAAAAAATAATTTTGATTTTCGCCAATTTTCCGCTTGATATATGGGAAGTTCTAATTCATTTATTTCGTTCCATGTAATTTACTAGAAAGTACTATAGTGAAGCACGAACATATATTCGTGTATACCCATGAATTATAAGGTGTAATGGCTAAAGGCTGAAATATTTTGTTCTGCTTGTCAAGCTTTTGTTCTGTTTAAACTCCCGCCAAGCTTCAGCATGGATAACAGAGCATGATCCGAATATATGACCACTAACCATATCTCTGGTTAGTGATATGACGCTACAGCCGAGCTGTTAGTTAACATGAAAAGTAACGGAGCTGTTCTTTGTGCAACCACCATGGCTGTCAGCGTGACCGCGCCGGACCAAACGAGAAATATCAATTTGGTCTCAAAAATATACTATAAAATACTATTTCATATTTTCCAAAATACCACTATAAATACCATAACAAATAAATCGTCTGGAAATTCAAATTATAATATGTAAAAATAATAACTGACTTATTATATATAGAAAAAATAAGGGTTTTCCCATTGCAAAAAATGTTTGTTGTTTATTTCATTTTAAAAAATTAATAATATTTCAGTCCAACATGCATTCATATTCAATTCCATATTCCAATATATATTTAAAGTCTTAAAATTAATTAAATGCTTAAAATTCATTTTGTAACATTTTCTTAAAATAAAATAATAAAGGAACTTCTTTGTTCAGTCTTGTTAGTTTCTCTTAAGATCAGAATATTACATTTAATTATATTTACTAGCCTTCTTCGTCAGAGCAGCTTAAATTAAATTTGTTGAAATCTTTACATAACATTTGTTCATTGGGCTTAAAATTGCACCCATTTTCGCGCAATGATTGTTTTACATGTAATATATGTAATACATTTACATTTTGAAAGCGGTTTCGATTTTTCGTTTTGATTAAATTAATTTGAGAGAATATGCGTTCACACGACGCATTAGAAACGGGCAAAATTAACATAGATTGAGCAAATTTCGAAATATTCGAATATTTATAGCAATTCTTTATATCTTTTAACTGACTCAATTCGTACCAGAATGTATCGCAATTGAGATTTTTAGTCATTGACAAAATCGGGAAAGCGTTCATACAGCTTGAACAACGATTGACAATTTTGATTATTAAAATCATTTGGATCCAAAAAACTTAACATTTTCAGAAAGTTATCTTGTAATGGCAATCTTTTTTTTAGTTGTACGCATAATTCGATTAAAAATAACTGGCTACGTTTCAAAAAAAGCCAATTTATGTTATTTGTCGAAAGTTAAGTTTGCCATTTTTATTCCGAGATACATGTCTTTTATATGTACAAAATAAAATGTGTTTGTTGGCTCTATGGCATTTAAATCTGTATTATTTATATACATCTCCTGCATATAACAAGCCAATACAGTTTTGTAAGATTCGGACATAGTTTTATAGAAATGATGTACAACAGATCGACTGGAATATGATATTGATTTTATTCACTAAAGCAAGTATATAATCCAAAAATAAAAGATAAAGTTTAACAGTTGGATTTTTTACATTAGATAGAATATACTCAGCTGATAAATTGTTATCAACTTCATATTCTTCTTGAAAGAATGCAATGAGGGCATCCCACTGTTCTAGTATGCGTGCCACACAAGAATGAAACGATAGCCAACGTATCTCGTAGTGGTTAAGTATATTGTGTGCAGGAGAATCTAAGAAAGTTTGAAACTCTTTTGCTCTAAGTTTCGAGGCAGCATAGCTTGAAGCAAGAGCAGACGAATGGCAAACACATTTTACAAAAAAACATGATTTGTTGACGTCTCGTATCTTCGTCATAATGCTATTGCGCTCACCATACATCACATTAGTTGTGTCTGCAGCAAATCCAATTATATTATTTATGTCAAAGCCATTAAGTTTGAGTCCATCGGTGAGTGCTGCAAAAAGGTCGACTGATTTTTCACCCTCTAAGTCAATGGTGAACAAGAATTTTGTTTACGCTTCATTGTCGAAATACATAACAGCACACGCCAAGACCTTTGTACACGAAACATCAGTCGATTCATCAATGATTATGGAGAACACAGGCCTTCCCGCTGCAGAAACGCACCGTTTCACGCTAGAGATCAGTTGTTCCTTCATCACAGGTGCCAGTACATTGTACGTAAGCGAAGCTGTTTTGGTGCGTTTGCAGTGAAACCCTTGCGCAATGGCACTATCGGGAAACGCATGCTTGATCACATCGCTAATATGGTCCATTGCTCTCATTGATATGTTGTGTTCAACAATCGCTACAGCAAACATAATTTCTGCCTTTTTGATAGAGGTAGCTGGAGTGTTGTCCGACTCTTTAAAAAACGATTGTATCTGAAAAGAGAATAGTTATTATGTACATGTAATTTAAAAGCATATAAAGAACTCACCTTTGATTTTCCACAGAAGTATTTCATATTATCTTTATGTTTTTTGTAGCCGCGTGCTGCTTAAGTGACGCCAGCCTACTCAAAATGTCAGTCTGGCACGCTTTGCAGTGCGCATCCGAATTATTTGCGCTTCTGCCCAGCCATTTTTCATTTTCCGGCATAGTCTCCCACTCAGCTCTACATTTTTGCTTATTGCTCATGTTTTCTATTTATTTGTTTTAAAATTAAGCAAGTCTTAGGCATTAAGCATTCGATTCATTAAGACTTAAATAAAGTGTGACCAAACCGAAAATACTATATAATACCATAAAATCTAAGAAAAATGCTACTAAATACCTATATACCATTAAAATACTTTTGAGCAAAATCAGAGCTGATAAAATACCAATAAGTATTTAAAATACCATATTCGGTCTCACTGAATGGCTGTGGTGCAACCTAGTGAATCCATTAACAGTGTTTTTTTTCCATCTGCTATCAGAAACTTGCAATTTATTGAATATAATAACAAATATTTTTTGTATGTTTATTTTGGGCCATTATAAAACATTTAATTATAAAATATTAAAAAAATAAATTATCTAATTATTAAAAATTTAAATCAGTATACTAGAAGCTTCTATTTAAAAATGTGATATGTGACGTCATAATACAAAGAGAGTGAATATTGTGAGCCAATCACTAGCACTCTTACTTATGATTACTTATAGCATAATGAATTCAAATTCATTGTATTACTTTAATATAAGTTGATTTGAAAAGACCAAGTTTTAATACTCACATATTTTAATTAGCAGCCCTGCTTATGGTATACTTCAGCTAAAACATATGTACATTCATACATAAGTCAATCCCCACCTAAATTATCGCTTTTGCTTTTGCGAACAGCTAATTTGACAGCGAGACGTCATTATTTCAGAAAATGTTGCGCGCGCGTTTACATTTGTATGAAAAGCAAGCAACTTTGACACTGTTATTTGTCTTAAAGCTAGTAGACTAAATAAAACGAGTTGGGCGGCTATTTACTTTTGAAATTTGCTTATAAATACTTAATTTTGATTGTTTTGGATCACTTGCAGAATCTCTGCTGAATCTCAGCCCACCAAGCTTCAGCTAGGATAACAGAGCACTATCTGAATATGTGACGTCACAAGAGTAACGGGACTTCTCTTGGCGCAACCTACTGTGTTTTTTAACAGTGGGTATGCACACGACATATCCTCGATATCTAGCTATCGATAATTGCAATGGAAACATCGTACAGTAACAACGAGCAAAACATCGTATAACAAATTCAATCGATAGCTTGATATCTCTAACATCCCTGGGTTCGTTTTATATCATCATAAAAACTAAAACAAAAAGTCTTAATTGAATTGAAGTCGGTCTTGTTCTTTGAAAGCTAGCAAACGGTTACGGTACGAAGTAAATAATTAAAGACTTCCATATATATATAGTGCGTTGCACTCCGCGACAAATACCATCGAGTTACGCAGATAGTGGTTAAGGTGTGTGCAATTTTTTGTCATCTTTTTGTGGAGTGCAATTTCTAGTAAAATGGGAAATTAAAGAGCTAAAGTGGCGTAAAAATCAATAATTAGAGCTTCGACAAAATACCAAGTAAGGTAGGCAATAGCAACAGAAAAAATGTAACTACTTCACATACAACCAAATATCAATATAAATATACATATGCATGCATGAAAATGTACATTTCCATATATACACGAACATGTGCCTATGAATGTACATTTGCACTAGTGAGGAAAAGCATCAACAAAAGCATTTACATGCGCATATAAGGAAATGGCTTACATCTGCTATATATATGTACATATGCGTTTATAGTTTGAAATATATATATATATATATATATATATATATAAGATACACCGAAAATGGTTATAATTATATGCGCATGAATAGTAATGCAAGTTGATGCCGTTCTGAATAAAGTATGTTTGTATATGTATGTTTATAAATCATTGATAGCTTATTGAAAAATATGAATTATAATAAATAGCTTTCAGAAGGTTCATCGGGATATGATAATAACTTAAATGGATTATCAAAAGTAGTTAGTAGTTATGAGACTCTGTATATATTATGATCTGGAAAATAGAACGCAAACATAGATTCAAATGTATGTAAGTGGATGTGTCTATCGACCTGCTTGCGGCTACGTACTCTTCTATTAGTGAGGACTTCCGCATAATGGAGCTGTGCCAGTGTGTCTCTCCCCACATGAGCTTGTGAGAGGCAATGCTGTCGCTCTCTTTTTCGTACGCTACCCTTCAAATTTTTTGCTGTGTTCTTTACGCATTGAAGTTACGTATGAATGCATATATGTAACTACATACATACTTGCGGGTATGTATGTATGTGGTGCATACAAATACGCAAGAAATCAAGTCTGCTTACTTAGTGATAGGTTTGAAATAAAATACAAATACAAATACAGATTTGTGTGTATTTAAAGTAGTCTGCATATGGCCATAAATATATACATACATAATTATTAACCCAATCACAAAGTAACTATCATACACAAAAAATTCATGCACCACAAAAAAAAAAAAAAAAAAAAAAAAAAAAAATAATAATAATAATAATAAATAAAAAAAATTCATATATATACAGTAATGCATTGTGAGTTTACACATATGTATATTTAGTTTTCCAACTTCTTAATACTTTGTAGCTTCATTTTAGTGTCACCTTTTTCATAAATTTACATGAGTAGTATTTCGCATAACATAGAAATTGTGTGTACCCTAAGTACATATGTGCATACCTTAAGAGAGAATTCCATCCTATAAATAAATACATATATTAATGGAAAGCCAAATGTACAACTTCAGAGTGGATTGTTTGCCCTTATAAAATATCAGCTTTACAACCCACATCGAATACTGAAGGTATAACAAAGCACATAAAAAGTTATAAAAAAAAGTACGAGATATTTGAATTGGAAATAATTATGCTAAACAGCGCCAATAACAATTTTGTGCAGCATGTAAGTAGACACAATACGTCTTATTTATTTTATACATTTTTACTACGCTTTTGCTATATTATTGTTGTTTTTCAATTTTGTTGTTGCTTGTTTTACAACATTTTAGTATTGACTCAAGTCGACTGTATAGTATATTATTATTAAATTCAAAGAAGAGGAAGAAGAAAACTGTTTGGGCTATGTATTTTAATATTTTTGGAATGGAATATTGCTTGTAGATCGTTGTATCGTTTTGTTTTCTGACCTCAGGATAATTTAAAAGAGAATACCGCAATAAGAAATGATTTAACTTGGATTTTATTCTTGATTTTGTGACATTTTCGAATAAAGCAAATATAATTAGTATGAGTAATTTGAATAGCTTGCGCATATATTAAAAACACATTAGATGTTCAAGATATCTCCGCATTCTCTTGCATATATAAATTTAACGTTCATAAAGGCCAACAAGGTGAATTGCAGCACTTACAAAGAAACCACAAAAGGTTCACTCACATCTAATGAGCGTTCGGTCACTCTGGCGTCTAACTGCTTGTTGGGAAACATTAGAAAAGCGTTATTGATTGGGGCATCGTGCTAAATTGTAAATTGTTGTCTATAGCTCGTGTAACTAACCAATAGCACTCAGTACCCCCAATAAAACAAAGCAAAATTATTTTTTTGGTAGACAGGTATTTACCTGGATTGATATTTGAGATTACGTAACAAATCAAGGATTATTCAATTCATTCATTATTACGAAGTTTATTTTTATTGATTTATTTTATTTTATTTATTAAATCTGAAGTGCAGAGAATCTTCTGTGATCCAACATGCGTTAGATGCAAATACATTGTGTTTATTTTAATCAGCTGTAATTAATCAAGTGTTTATTTTAATGTTGGAAATTAGAATTATGCAAAATACATGACTGAAAAATCTATAGAAATATCAGCATGACTCTTGATAATTGAGTGACATACTTTCATTTGGTATCAATTCAGACATATATATAGTAATTTCTACGATCTCAAAACGCTTTGCTTTTTATTTATGGTTTGCAACGTAAAGGATTATTTTTCGCTTACGTATATGCGTTATTAAGTAGCTATATCTATGTAGTAATCACTTTCAGTTCGAGAGCCACTTATTTTTTAAAATTTTATTTTTAGTTTTTAAACACGGTTTTACATTGTGTTCTTACATAACTTACCGACCCTACGGTCGATTTTTGTGCAGCGCTCTCCAGTTTGTCAATATGTTCACCGCAGCCCACTGGTATAGCGCATGCTCTCTTAACAATATGTGAAATCCATTTGCAAAATATGCAAAAGGCAGGTGCTACCGTGCATTTGTTGTCTAATTTAGTAAAAACTTATTGTTAAAACATTTAGACGGACAGGCGGCTGTCGCTTGTCTGGCAGCTGACACTTGGTGTACAGGTGCACCGATGTGCATTTGAGAAGCATCGCAGCATAACGTAAAATTTAATGCGAATTTTCCGTCCGCTGGCTTTATTACGCGCTAGCCCTTTACTGTTCGGGGCCTCTATTCAGCTGTTCCTCTACTCGATTGTCTATGTACATGTAACGTTGTACATCTCTTCATATACATACATATATACTTCTCGAGATCTCGATTCCCATAAATAGAGTTTGTAATGAAATATAGGCTACTTCATAATATAGACTAATACATTTGAGTATGAAATAATTTGTTCAAATATATGTATATTATATATATATACATATATATATATATATATAATTATAAATAAGTATTTGAAAAGCGAAAGACATTATAAATTATAAATGGAATCCAAAATGCAAAGTACAAAATGTTTCGCTGAAAACGCAAGGAGAAATTTCTCTAGGCCATCCAAATGGTGGTTTGCTGCGGGGTCTTCTGCACACGAGAAATTAATGAATATATATTTTTGTTGGCACTTTTAATGTTTTATCAACCACAAATGATCAGCAGAATTACCATAGGGCTTACCTAAAGTGCAAGTGCAGTTGAGAGCAGTTCGCTTTAAATGAGTAAATGTATAAATACTTCTCAAAAAGTTGGCTTGTCTTTCCGTGGGTTCTTTGCTGCAATTTAATTTAATTGTAGCTAGTTGAATTCTTACGCTCAACCGCTAAACACGCGTTTCTTTACCTCGCTTCGTTGTCCTGCCTCTTGTTCTTATTCTTGATCATTAAATCACTGTAAATTATCGCTGAAACTGCTTTTCAAATTGCTGAAAGACAATGTATCCCGTATGCTATAATCCTAGACGAATGTG